ACTATATATTTAGATATATGTGTATGTATATATAACATTTGGATTATTCAGTTTTATGGACATTTTTAAAGCGAAAATTTTGCTTAAAAAAATTGTTAAAATAATAAAAATAAAAAATCCTGTGATCATACAGCACATTCATATAGATCCATCCAAATTATATAAAATAGCAGATATTAAACATTATTTAAATTTATATCAGTTTCGTATTTTCAATCAAAATTAAAGATCCATTAAATTATATTAAATATAAAATTCTCGTTCGCAATCAAACTAAAAATTTATACAAACAAAGTCATTCCATATTAATTATAATTTTAATAAATTTTTATTTAAATTTTCAGTTGAGTGTATATTAAATGTATGCACAAAGTTCTATTTTAGATACATTGAGTATATTCTGTATTCGTATTTCTCATATCATTCCATATTGGTTTATACCCCTAATATACATATATCGTACGAATTTACAGGACTGATCATACAATGTTGATTAAATCTCTCTCACTATACATATACATATGTATGTTTATATATATGTGTATATACATATATATCCCTCAACTCTCATTGTTATGCTTAAGTCAGCTTGAAACTGTGAAATTCATTGGCTTAACACTTAATCCTATAAGTATAAATTAGCGTTAATTTATACCTATATAGCATATATATATATGTATATATATTCGTAGTACTTCCACTCTGGCTTCAGGTCGGCGCTGTTTCGTCTTTCCAATCGTATTTGTCTTGTTCGTTGTTCCTTTTTGGATAACTTCTACTCTGGCTGTGCCTTTCTCTTTTGCTCTATGTCTTTCTCTCATTCTGATTACAAATTTTCCACTATGGAATGCAAATCAACTCTCGCAACGCTGCCTGCGTCTTCAGCTCCGCCCACGTCGCACGCCCCCTTAAAGTCAACTATCGCCAATGGGCAGACACATTTGTTGTTGTTGTTGTTGGTGTTTCTGGTGTGTGACCTTCGCATAGCAGCGCGTCGTCACCAGCTTTGCTTATTATGAGCATTACACTGAACAAAAATTGATGGTTTGTCAGAACTAAATGTTGAACAATGATAAAATGCACTTTTCACAGAGAAAAATTCTTAACTATATAAACAAATTTTTGACGGCGTGAATTCTTCAGTCAAATTTTCTTTGGTTTTCATAAATTAAGTTCAAGTTGTATTTTTAAATGCTAAATTTCTATGCTAAAATTGACAAAATGCTAAACCTCGCTTAGTGACCGCCACATAACATTCCAATGCTAAAATCACTTAAAAGCAAGCTGAAATCATTTACATAGCTTTCAAATGTTAGCTGACCATCTTTACATACCAGCATGCTGCTCAGCTTACAGCTCTGGCATAATTGCATAACTGTTAGCAGAAGGGTTTACAGTGCTTGCAGAGATGCTGCAACAGCAAGTGCTTAAGCGCTGTTAAGTGAACTCCTTTAACATAAGCTGTTGCTCTTCTACAGCCTCTGTAGACTTAACAGCTGACTGTTAGCTTAACGAAACTAGAATAGATTATTTGCTTGGCATTGGAACTAAAGCAACTATATTATATTAATCTGTCAACTTTCAATTCTCTCGGTGTAGTTTAGCCTTTGCGGCTGGTATCGTAGCAAGTCCACGCTGTATCGCATAGTTTCGTATGTTAATTCGCTTACAGTCGGCGGCATCGCATTCGTCAAATGCTACTTTACGCTATGAGCCCACTCGTTGAACGCTGCCGGCAGCAGCGACCGAGGCAGTGGCGGCGACAGCACAAACCGGAAGCCAGCGCAAAAAGCGTCGAACAGCGACCCAAACATGTTTTCCGTCAGCCCCACTAGCCCCCCTCCTGTGTGGCCCCCCGGCCATGGCCCGTAGAAAGTAACTCGCTTTATGTGAGTGGCGGCCGGTCAGCTAATGTAAGTGTATGTGCGAGTGTGTGTGTGTGTGTGTATCTTCAAAATATGAAGTGCTATTAAGAAATATCATTTTAAATTTCGTTCAGCTTTATACTGAGTGTATATAGAATCTTCAGATACAGATACAGATACAGATACAGATACAGATACAGATACAGATACAGATACAGATACAGATACAGATACAGATACAGATACAGATACAGATACAGATACAGATACAGATACAGATACAGATACAGATACAGATACAGATACAGATACGGATACAGATACAGATACAGATACAGATACAGATACAGATACAGATACAGATACAGATACAGATACAGATATAGATATAGATATAGATATAGATATAGATATAGATATAGATATAGATATAGATATAGATATAGATATAGATATAGATATAGATATAGATATAGATATAGATATAGATATAGATATAGATATAGATATAGNTTCTCTCATTCTGATTACAAATTTTCCACTATGGAATGCAAATCAACTCTCGCAACGCTGCCTGCGTCTTCAGCTCCGCCCACGTCGCACGCCCCCTTAAAGTCAACTATCGCCAATGGGCAGACACATTTGTTGTTGTTGTTGTTGGTGTTTCTGGTGTGTGACCTTCGCATAGCAGCGCGTCGTCACCAGCTTTGCTTATTATGAGCATTACACTGAACAAAAATTGATGGTTTGTCAGAACTAAATGTTGAACAATGATAAAATGCACTTTTCACAGAGAAAAATTCTTAACTATATAAACAAATTTTTGACGGCGTGAATTCTTCAGTCAAATTTTCTTTGGTTTTCATAAATTAAGTTCAAGTTGTATTTTTAAATGCTAAATTTCTATGCTAAAATTGACAAAATGCTAAACCTCGCTTAGTGACCGCCACATAACATTCCAATGCTAAAATCACTTAAAAGCAAGCTGAAATCATTTACATAGCTTTCAAATGTTAGCTGACCATCTTTACATACCAGCATGCTGCTCAGCTTACAGCTCTGGCATAATTGCATAACTGTTAGCAGAAGGGTTTACAGTGCTTGCAGAGATGCTGCAACAGCAAGTGCTTAAGCGCTGTTAAGTGAACTCCTTTAACATAAGCTGTTGCTCTTCTACAGCCTCTGTAGACTTAACAGCTGACTGTTAGCTTAACGAAACTAGAATAGATTATTTGCTTGGCATTGGAACTAAAGCAACTATATTATATTAATCTGTCAACTTTCAATTCTCTCGGTGTAGTTTAGCCTTTGCGGCTGGTATCGTAGCAAGTCCACGCTGTATCGCATAGTTTCGTATGTTAATTCGCTTACAGTCGGCGGCATCGCATTCGTCAAATGCTACTTTACGCTATGAGCCCACTCGTTGAACGCTGCCGGCAGCAGCGACCGAGGCAGTGGCGGCGACAGCACAAACCGGAAGCCAGCGCAAAAAGCGTCGAACAGCGACCCAAACATGTTTTCCGTCAGCCCCACTAGCCCCCCTCCTGTGTGGCCCCCCGGCCATGGCCCGTAGAAAGTAACTCGCTTTATGTGAGTGGCGGCCGGTCAGCTAATGTAAGTGTATGTGCGAGTGTGTGTGTGTGTGTGTATCTTCAAAATATGAAGTGCTATTAAGAAATATCATTTTAAATTTCGTTCAGCTTTATACTGAGTGTATATAGAATCTTCAGATACAGATACAGATACAGATACAGATACAGATACAGATACAGATACAGATACAGATACAGATACAGATACAGATACAGATACAGATACAGATGCAGATACATTTGACAGCAGATTGACAGCCTAAATTTGATTTATGTATAAGACTTCTGCTGTCTCATTACTCAACTTTGTTTTACATTCGGGGGTGTGAAAGATCTAGTAAAGATCTAGTACACATATCTATATATAGACTGGCAGCAGCTGTTGTCATGCAGCAGTTTGACAGTCAGCGGTGTGGCACAGTTTGAGCAGCGCAACAGAAGAACTGTGGCGCCTGTTGCAAGCCATCAAAAAGTAACTCAAAGTTGCGCCGTTTGTTTATTATACAGAAAGAGAGAGAGAGAGAGAGAGAGAGAGAGAACTATATTGGGCTGTCGAATCACTTAAGTGACAACAACAACAAAAACAACAACAAGCTTAAGCAACTGCAACATGTGATAAATGCAACATAACAAAACAAATCAAAACAACACAAAGCAAAGCAAAGAAAAACAAGAGAAACACTTCAATCAAAACGTGTGCACAACAAACAACTAACAGCAGCAACAACAACAACAATCTAAACAACAACAACAACATAAACAACTTGCAACAGCAATCAAAATTTTTGTTGCCCCGCCCAACAATGCACGAACATTTTACCATGTGGATTAACTTTGGATTGCCCTTTTTTAAATGTTTGTACTTTTGTTATTATTATTATTACTATAATTTTCTTCTGCCTATGCTTTTCCATTTTCCCATTTTCTGTTGTATTTTCTTACATAGTTTTCCTTTGCGGGTTTTTCATGTTTGGCTTTTTGTTGTTGTTGCTGCTGCTGATGCTTTTAGCTGGCCCATAAAACAGACAAAAAACAAACAAATAAAAAATCATAAAAAAAAAAATCGCGTGTTTCGCATTTTGAAAAAATCATAAGAAATAAATAAAATAACCTTGCACAGCGTTTTTTTTTTCTATTTTAACTGAAAAAAAAAAAACTAGCAGAAGAAGAAGCAGCAGTAGCTGTGCACATATAGTTGGCACAAATAGTTGGCTCTGTTTATCATATAGTGTCATAGAGCGTCGTATGGAGTCATATAGATTCGTATATGACCTGAGCTGTTCGTCATGCAGTTGAGATGGGCTTTAGGTATTCTCGAACTCTTAATGCGTAAATGATTAAAATAAATCGAAAAGGTTTCTTTCGATTAAGTCAAGCTAATCTTATCAGAATATTGGTCTTCGTCTTATATGCATTTGGACTCTACTCCTCACGCTTGCTTTGATGACTCACATTTTCCGGTTAGTTTTTTGTGCTACCATTTTTCCTGAGTCTCTGGGCCCAGTTTACTTGACTTCTCTTGTCGGCTTAGTTATGTCGCCTATTGCTTTGATCTCGAAGCTCACTTCATTGATCTACGTGTCTCGAATAATTCTTTACGTTTAGCATTTGCTCAAATTGTCACTGCTTTAAATTTCACAATAAAGTGAATCAATTCCAGAAAATTTGCAATCGAAAATAGCCTTATTATTTGTTTTTTAATTAAAATGTTTTTATTTTTTTT